TCGTTCCTCCAGCTAGTTATCTTAGTGGAAGACTTTCAGAGTGACACAGGGATGATATCAGAACTGCCAAATATAAGGGAAATATTATAACTCTCAACCTGTTAGATGTCTGATAAGCTGAAATCCTGCTCTCTGAAATTGAAGAATGAATTCTAGGACAAAGGAGGTTCAGAGTAGGAAATATTTCTTGAGAGATAGAAAGCTCCTGCCAGAGTGCCAGGAGGGAACTTCTGCAAAGTGGGTTGCCTGAGGACCCCAGTTCTCAGGGGAAGTTTTGTAGAGCACCACTATGTGGGAACAATGTAGGTTATAGGTATGAGCAACCAGTAAGATTATAAGTATAGCTGCTTAGGTAATATTGATCCAACGGGGAAGCAAGTCATGTAGGGAGCAGGCATGGAAAGAGCAAAGAACTTCTCAGGTAAGTGATGGATCTGGTGGTCTTCGTTACCCACTGAGAACTGCCTAGAACCACCCATTGCCAACTATCTAGAATTTATTAGACAGGGGTTATTACTTATCTCATTCCTTGGGCAGTATGTAGGCCTGGTCTTTTTGCTGTTATTTTAGCTTCCAACTGATGCATCTCTGGATTCAGTTGTGCATTTTCATGTTTTGTCCTGCCTCTGTCCAGGACCTAGCTCTGTCTCACTACTTGATTTTAGAGACCATGCTTTTAGCCTTTCCCCATTCAGTGTGATGCTTTCCATGGGTTTCTTGTATGTAGTCATTATTATATGTGGTATGATCCTTCAATACCTAGTCCTTTGGGGGCTTTTACCATGAGCCTATTTAAACTTTGTAGATTACTTCTGGATGAATATAGATAATCATGTGATTTTATCCTTGATTCTATTACATGCTGTGTAACATTTATTGATTGGTGTAAACTGAACCACTCTGCATCTGTGGGATGAAAATAGCTTGATCATAGTGTATGATCTATTTAATATGTTGTTGAATTCAGTTTGCAAGTATTTTTTCAAGGATTTTTACAGCTATGTTCATGAAGATATTGGTGAATAGTTTTCTGTTTTCTTATGCCCTTTTCCATTTTTAGTATTGATACAGGGGAAAGAAACTCCTGACCTGCTAGACATCTGTGATAAGTTTGCATTATCTAAAATTGAAAAATAAATTTTAGAAACAACGGAGGTTAAGAGCAGAATATATTTATTGAAGGAAAGAAAGCTTCTGTCTGAGAGAGAGGCACACAAGAAGGGGACTGTCTTGGTTACTTTTCTCTCATTGCTGAGACAAATACCCAAAGCCCAAAATTAAAGAAGGAAAGCTTTATTTAGCTTACAGTTTGTGGAGGTTTCAGCCCATACTTGGCTGCCTCCAAGGCAGAGTGGCACATGGCAGAGGGCAGCCATTCATGGTGATGAAAGACAGCAAAAGCAAGAAGAGCAAAAAGGGAGGAGTGGCAGAGAGCAAGCCTCTTTCCCTCTGTTACATTGTATTCATACCACCCGCCCCAGGGGCACGTGTAGCACTCACACCCATAGTCCCAGCACTGGACCATGGACCAATCAAAAATCTAGAAGCCAGCCCCATGACTGCATGAGTATCTGGGGGAACATGCAGACATAAATCATAACAGGGACCCAGGTGTGTTGCCAATAACCATGCTTTTTCTAGGGATTTTTATAGAACAAATCCACAATGTGAGGTGGGTCCAAGGTGGGAAACATGGGAAATCGCAAGGTGGGCATGAAGTGGGACAAAACCATGGTCAACCAATTAGATTATAAATATAATGGCTTAGGTAAAATTGATTAAATAGGGATCAGATGGGGAAGGGAGTCATGTAGCAAGAGGGCATGAATACAGAATAGGAGCTTTTCCTGTAGAGGGTTGAGTTAGTGACTCTTCCTGGCTTTCTCAAGGTGACAGAGACCTATTTAGAATATCAATCCCTAATGTTTATCCCTGTGGAGGTGTGGGGGTACATTCATTTTATCTTTTGTCTTAAGGTCTGGCTCACAGCTGGAGGTGTGAGTCTCTCTCACAGTTGCAAGGCATCTCCTCTTTCTCACTGGTTCTTGTGAGGGCCTAGCCCTATCTGACTGCCTATGATAGTTCTGTCTCTCTGAGTTGCCTACAACGGAATCAGGGTGTTACTGGCCTCATAGAATTCATTTGGAACTATCCTTCCTTTTGTATTTCATGGAATCATTTGAAGAGCATTGTTAGTTCTTCTTTAACTGTTTGATCACTATTACTTGTAAGTGCCTGTGTACTTGGGGCTTTATTTTGTGAGAGATCACTTAAAACTGCTTCAATCTCAGTAACTGCATTTTTTATCTACTTAGGTTTTCCGTGTGTTCTTGGTTTCATTTTAGTACCTCATATGTGCCAAGGTATTAACTTCTTTTCTAGATGCTCCACTTTATTAGAATATAGGTTTTGAAAATAGGTGCTAATGATCATCTGTCTTTCACAGGTGTCTGTTTTCCCACCTCTCTTTTCCTTTCTAGTTGTGTTGGTTGAGACACATTCTCTCTCTTTCAGGAATTTTTTTTTTTGGATAAGAGTTTTTCAGTATTTTCTAAGAGGCAACTAATGTGACAGTGCTGGGTCCGTGTGGCTGTCACAGTGGACACTGAGGCCTGAGTGGTCACTGTCCCTTTAAAGGGAGACAGAATGTTTGCCCTTTGTCCCTGGTCACAAGGGAGCTCAGGTAGAGGAAGGACAGGTGGAGCCAGGCAGAGGCAGAGGTGAGAGTTGTGCTGTGCTCAGGAGAAAGGCTGTGGGGCCAGTGAGGTGGAAAGGTAGAGATTCTGATGCGGCTTGCAGCGGGAATCCCGAGTGAGTGTGCAGGTTGAGGCTGTGCGTAAGGGACTGAGGAGGACCAGGGACCTTCCAGACACAGTGATGACCTGCACCGCCCCACCGCCCCTTGGAGTTTCGTTACCATGAACACTAGTTCTCTGAGCTTGTCAGACTTTCTTTAAGGGATGCTGTAGTCACAGTATTGAGAATTTTTAAATAATTCTGAATATCGTCCTGTCCCTTGTGCTTTCTCATCTTGACCATGGGGCTCAGGCCTGAGTTGGGCTTCACTGAGCTGAGTCCCCTCACAAGTGGGCTCAGTCTGGGAAGAAGCTGCTGCCCGATTCCTCGTCCTTGAGGCCAGGTTTGTGGGAGCCACTGCCTAGTCGGTGGGCTAACCAAGCCTGCTGTGGGCCCCTAAGCTGGCCAGGTTCATCCCAAATGTATCAGGAATGTCTGCCATTGGCCAGAGGCCTTAAAAGACCAGCAGCAGGCAATTTCCAGACCTCTGGGTGTTTGTCAGTCTCTGGGATCATGGAGTACTTGGAAAGTTTGTCTCCCTTTAGTTCTCCTTACTGGTGTTACCTGAGGTCTATAACAAGTCTCTCTGTTCTTTCAGGCGCTGTGCACAGAGAACCTCTGCACTGTCTGGGTCGCTGGGAATTTGAGTCCTCTTACTGGCGAGTGGTGACCGACTGGAGAGTGGAGGCCTTGCCCTTGGTGGGACCAGGCGACTTCGTCGGTCCGGTTTGAGTTGTATTTAGGATTTCAGGACTCAGCGTGCAAGCACTCAGTGCTAGGGCAGGTAAAGTGCCAGTCCCGTTAAATGGGAGCAAGTAGTTCATGTCCTGTGTTGGTATTTCCGGTCTTCAGGGTCCCTTTCTTTGCAAAAGACCAGATGCAAGGAGCTTTCCTCCTCATTTGAAACATGGCAAACATTATCTGAGCCCAAGGCGATTACCTGAATGTTTATTCACCTCTTCATCTGATTCAGGTTTTTCCACTGATTGTATTATTATTGTTCACATGTGTACACTGCATGTCCTCTCTCTGATGAGAGTGGGTTATATTTATTAGTGTTCATGCCTGTATACTGGGTGCCCTCTCTCTGGTGAGGGTGGGTCATACTTGTTAGTGTTCAAGACTGTATACTGTGTGTTCTCTCTGCGATGAAGGACTGTTACCGAAGAGGATTCTTTCTGCAGAAAAGTGTTCCCCTAGCGCTGATGGTCAGTGACCTTTCTGGGGTTGTACAAGTGTGGCCACTGCACCCAGTGCCATCTCAGTGCGGTTTGCTGTTGGCATCTCCAGAGGAAACTCAGTGTTCTGTGCAGAACAGGACTCAACCCTCTTCTGACTGCTACCAGATTTGCCCCCTCTGGGCTGGGGTGTGATTAGGAGCAGATCTTGTGGTTAGTGTGTTCCACGCCCTGGGTGCAATTCCCAGCGGCAAGTAAGGAAATGAAAATTTGGTATAAACTCATTGGTTTCCATGAACAGAAAAAGTCTCCTCAAAAGACTTTCTGGTGACAGTGAATTACTCATTATGACTTCTGTGCTTCTGTGTGCTCTGTGTGTGTAAGGAGCCAGTCTCAGCCTTCCACAGCAGTGAAAGTGAACAAGCCCTCCTGGGCGAGAGCAGCGCAGTGCCCCTGCAGGCCCCGTGTGCACCCCGCTGAGGGCCCCACACACAGGCCCTGGGCCCATTCTCCCCTGACTTAGTTGGGTTGTGTCCTTCAAGAGGTGGGTCCCCTTAAGAGACCCGATGGTGTATTCCTGGCTTCTGTAGCTTCTGGTTGACCTTGAGAGCAGTTCAGAGTTACATGATGAGGAGGTCACTCTCATACCTTTTCTGTTACTGAAGGACAGAATGTAGTAGAGAGAAAGAAATGAATGTTCTCAGAAGTTTTAGTTTTATAGATTTTGCATTTTTAGGGTTTCATTTTCTACCAGTCCTTGCCCTAGGATGGAGCATGGAGTAAAATCAGAAGCATAATTAGTGTCGATGTGTGATTAATACCTGAATAGAGTGAAAAAGAATTGCCCATGTATGTACCGTTTTCTTCCAGTTTTGTCATTTAAGCAAGAAGAAAAGTTTGGCACGCTTCCTTTAATGCTATAGAAATAAAGTGAAACAGAGGCCAGGAACAGAGGCTGAAGCTGAAGCTGCAGCTGCACCAGAGTGCAGAGTGGATTCAAACAAAGCCATTTCCAGCCTCACGGCCATGGCGGAGCCAGACCTGAGACCTCATGCCAGGGCAGCTGGGCTGTGGGCTCCTGGGGCTCTGCTGGGGAGGTCCTTGCCCAGCAGTGCTTGTGTCCCTGCAACCTTGGTGACAGCCATACTGAGAAGTCGTTCACTGATTATCTGGAACCCGCAGGGGGCGCCCGTGCTTTGTCAACCCCACATTCCAGTGCTAACGCTGGTGGTCCTGCCTTCTAGCAGGGTAGCTTGCTTCCCACCAGGCACGGGGTTTCCTGTTGGGAAGGGTCCAGTCCCTACTTGGAGAACTTTCACCTGGTTAAGTCTGAATGCTGGGACCCGACATTATCTCACTGGAGTTACAGTTTGGTCTTGGGGGACCTGGCTATGGGCCTGTGGGTGTCCGCAGTGGTGCTCAGGCTGAAGGGGAGGAGATGTGAAGAGCATGTGCACCAGGGGCAGCCTTAGCACCCTGCCGAGCTCGAACTGCCAGGAGTGGTTCCAGGGTGGTGCCATGCACAGTGGAGGGGGATTTGTGCAGTTTGCATGAACAAAGATGATTTTTATTCACATCAAAAATACTGTTAGAGTCTCTCACAGACTTGGATAGACTTTGGTCTTATCCATAGCGTCGTGACAAGTGCGTTTCCTGTTGGCATCGCGTATCCATCGTCTGATGCCTGCCCTTGGCTTCTGCAGGTCACAGTGGTTCCTGGCACTGTGCCCTGTGTGGGCCCTGGGTTCTCCCATGTGGCGCTGCCTGACACGGTGTACTGCAGCAAGGACTGCATTCTCAAGCACGCGGCAGCTGCTATGCGACTACTAAGTGCACAGAAAGGACACAAACCGAAGCCTAAAAAGAAGGTCAAGATGAAGCCAGAAGAGCTCTGTCTCCCAAAACCTAGCGTGCAGGTGAGCTGAGCCAGGTGACTTCTGGGATCTTTGACACGAAAGCGTGTGTGACAGTGTGTGTCCTGTGTCCCTGGGCTTATTTACTGAAGTTCTCTAACACCGGCACAGCAGGTGTCCACATCATGCAGATCCCATGTCCTCTACTTCTGGCTCCTGCCCTTAGCTGAGGGCTCAGTTAGCCTGAGTGCTGTGAAGCAGTGCAGGAAATCGGCCGCCCTGCAGGAACTCAGGGCCAGGTGTCACAGTACCACCTGGGTGCGCACAGCCACCCTTTGTGTTCTGTGTGAAGTCCAATCCCAGGGCATCGGGGGAGGGTGGGTTCTAGTCAGGGCTCTGCTTCAGTTTTCAACTGTGTGATTCGGAAGAATCGGGGATGTTTCAAAATGAGAATCTCTGTGTTAGTCACGAGTTGCCCTGAGCTCATCTGGAAGTGGCCGTCTGCGCCCTGCCCTGTGTGGACGTGCAGACCGAACCACACCCCCACACCCTCACCCCTGCTCCCTTGGTCCCTGTGCACTGTCTGCTGCTTGCTCACCTTGGACACCTCGACTTCAAGGCAGCTTCCTTGCAGTCCCTCAGCTGCTGAAGAGCAGGGCTGGAGCACGCGGTCAGAGGACAGCAGAACTGAGCGTCCAAGCCCTTTCCTCAGCTTCCACACCTCCAGAGTTTTTGTCCAGGAGCAAAGTGGCACTGTCTCCTCTAGTTTGCGAGTCCCAGCGCCTTCCTGTCTTGGGCTGAGCACATCCTGACGCCTGCACTCGGGCCCAGTGCTCTGTGCCTGGGCTTGATTCTCTGCCTCGCTCACGGCTCCTCGCTCTGTTGTCTGGCGACTTCTGTCTTTGCAGTCACACATGGTTCTATCTCAGGAGCCTCGTGTGACCCAGAGACCCAAGCTCCTCAGTGCTCTGTAGGGACGCAAGGGTCCCCTGACTGTGCAGACTTGGCCACGTGAGCAGCTGAGCACCAGCCAGGGTTGGGGAGGTGTCTGAGGGTGACCCAAATGGAGTCTCATGACATGAACTGCTGAGTGAGAGGCTGCAGTGGTGATGTTTCTCACCCTAACCACTGGGCTCTCACTGATTATCCAGGCAGGGATTACAGTGTCCTCTTTGCACAAGAGGCCAGCTTCAGAGGAAACTGAAAACCCAGCGAAGAAGGTGATGGCGACTCCTTCTAGGTGGGAAGACATGGTGAAGGAGGCGGCCAGCAAGAGCAGCACACCCTCCTGGGCCCGCGACCACAAGGCCAGCGCCATGGTGCCAGAGAAGACTGCTGCTCCCTCCCCACCACACTGGGGTAAATGTAGGTGTCCCCCTGATGTGAGCCTCTGGGCACCACACACACTGTCTGGATAGCCACAGGGTGACCAGGATGGGCAGTCCAGGCTGTGTTTTTGTATAGTGTGGACACCGATCACCATCAGCTGGAAGCAGATGCCAGTGTTCTGGGCTGCTCCAGAGCCTGGCTTTCCGTCCCTTGCCCGTGACTCTCCATCCTGGTGTTTCCCAAAGAGCTGTACAAGACTCACTGCGGATGCTCCCGGTGGTGCAGTTCTTACTGTCCAGCTGCATGCCAGGCCAGGCTCTGGCGAGCACTGGTGTTATCTCCAGCACACCCGGGTCAGCCAGCGCCAGCCCCAGGCCCGGGTTCCCCACTGCTCACACAGCACTTTATTATGGCCCTGCACAGAACCTGAGCTTTTCAATGTTACTGCTTTGCACAAATACCCCGCTCCCTCGCCGTGCTGCAGGCATCTCTCTGCGAGTCAGTCTTGCCTCAGAGAGCTGCGGTACAACTCTTAGAAGTCCACAGAGTTCTTGACTTGACAGCAGACACTGGGTTCACACGGACGTCACATGCTACACACAGCTCATTGGACATTGAAATCTTGAAGGACACTTGCTGCTGCCCCATAGGCCACAGAGTGAGTGGTGTGGCCTCCTCCACACAGACAGCAGTGTCCTGGCTGCAGGGAGTGTGGCGGGCTGGTGTCAGGGGTGCCGGGGTCCCGGCTCCTGGGCAGTGTTCAGATTGCGACCCTGGCCCAGGTTTCCAGTGAGTGAAATGAAGACACCTTGGGTTGATGTGTGAATCCCTGGTTAAGATCACACAACTTGGCTCTGTCCTTGTTTTCCTGTCTCCTGGTCCCAACATAACCCTAGCTATGGGGATGAGGATCGCTAGGAGGTCACATCTCTCTGTCCTGTGAATGCTCTCAGACCAGGTTTTATTCATGCTCTCTCCCTGCCTCTAGAGCGTTTTCTCCCTTTTCAGTGAACCACCAGGACAGAGGTGGGAAGTTCTCACCTTCTGCACAGTGGGTCCTCAGCTCATGGGCTTCACTGGCAGGAAGTCAGGACACATGACAAGTGAACAATTTTCTCAGCACACACATATCTCTAAAAATTGGGCATCCAGACGGTGGCGTGCATAAGAGACATACTTGGAGCTGCTGGCTTGTGGAATTTCTCTGTTTCCCCACAAATGTCTTGCTAAACACTGACTGGGAGGACTGGAAGGAGATTGGTAAAGCAATCTTGGGGTGGCAGGGCACGTGCTCCAGGACGCCATGGGCAGGTGAGATGGGCAGCACCCACAGATGCCTCCCCAGCTGCCTCCAG